TCACTAAGGCAGAACAAGGCAGGCTATTAAATAATTACAAATTCTTCAGTAAACAGTGGCACAATTTGGAATTATGAATATTCTAATTGTTTGGCAATCCTAGCTATCCAGAATATAGCCATGAGAATAAACACCATCGTCTTCAATGAATTTCAGGATATACTTTACTCAGAGAGGATCCCCTCAGGATCTCACTAAGAAGCCTATTTACTCTTAACTTAGACATGATTCTAAATGGGAAATAGTAAGGTGCAGAACTTTGCTGAGAAGACGTGTTTCAATCTCCTGGAAAAGATGAAATTTTTTTGTCCATCAAAGGGTGCTTCAAATTTTAAAGATGCTCTGAAGTTGAGAAATATTCTACCATAAAATGAATGACCGTCAAAATCCAATTACGTGATCCCACTTACATGAAATATCTACAAGAGGCAAAGGCATAGACACAGAAAGTACATTAGTGGTTAACTCTCCAGTTGGAAGGGATTGTGGGGGGGAGAAGGACATAGGGAGTTAATGCTTAATGGGCACAGAGTTTCTGTTTGAGGTGATAAAAAGGTTTTTGAAACAAATAGGGGTGATGCTTGACAACACTGTGAATATAATTAATGCCACTGAATTGTACAGTTAAAAATGATAAATTTTTTGTTATATATATTTAACCCCAATAAAAAATTTTTTAAAGGTTAAGGAGGGACTATGGGGAAAAAAATAAAGGTCCTTAGGGAGCGCAAAGTGTTGGTAGTTGGAATCCACTTAGCGGATCCATGGAAGAAAGCCCTGGTGATTTGCTTCTGGTAAGATTACAGCCAAGAAAGACCTATGGAGTAGTTCTACTCTGTAGCACGTGTGGTTGCCATGAGTTGGAATTAACTGGACGACATGGATCTTTATGGAGAAAAAAAAAATTCAGCTGTGGCAATGGCGATGTTTATGTGGTTTTTAGCTCTAGGGGAAAAAATGTAAGTCGCTATGAGTTGCAATCAATTCGACGGCTACGGGTTTGGTTTTTTCCATATAACGAAAACACCGCTATTAAAATAGGTAAGCCACAGCTAACAATCTTGGTTATTTCTCCCATGATTAGGAACATTAGAAAAATTAACTAAGACTGCTAGAGATACACATACAGGAGCTAGAGACAAGAGAAGGCAGCACACCAAGCTTATACAGACCTCAAGGCCTTTGTCCTTGTTTCCTCTACCTGGAACACTCCCCAGATACTCACGCCTAAACATCTCCTCAGAGGCCCTTCTCTGACCTCGTCCCTCTCTATGCTTTTATCCTACTATTACTGGTGTTTTTATCATAACACTTATCCCTAATTAACATTACATATTTATGTGTTTATCACCTATATTTTCCACTAGAATGTAAGCTCTACGAGATGTCTGTCCAATGTAAGCTCTACAAGATGTCTGTCCTCATCTCTACATCTCGCACCCAGCACAGTGCCTAGGGAGTGGTGCTCAAGTATTTCTTGGATGAATAGTGATGAGATGGAATGTTACAAAATGTAGCAAGAACTATGAAATAAGAGTCATTTAACGTGTTGTTGTTGTTAGGTGCCCCCGGAGTCGGTTGTGACTCACAGCGACCCCGTGTACAACACAAGGAAACACTGCCCGGTCCTGCGCCATCCTCACAACTGTTGTTATGCTTGAGCCCATTGTTGCAACCACCGTGTCAACCCATCTCCTTGAGGGTTTTCCCGTTTTTCGCTGACCCTCTATTTAATTAAGTGACCAAAAAAAATCAACCTTTTGCCCCTAAAGTTATCACACAACATCAAATAAACTGCACACATTGTCATGTGTCATGAAAGGTCAAAATGCAGTCTCAACACTTTATTAAATGTAATATTTTAAAAATCTTCCCTCAAAAACTGCACAATTTCTTTTCCACATTCTACTGCTTAAGGAATAAGTAACCAAGTTACTTCAATTACCCAGAAAATTCTCTCCTGAGAATTCATCTCAACTCTCCTTTCTCCCCCTCCCCCCAAATATCAAGAGATGACATATTGTACCACTTTTTAAAGTACCTCGGGTACAGAGAACTTTACATATTGTATAGGACTGGTTTTTGGTTTTGCTTCTTAGTAGTAATATCCACTGTGTGAACTTTCCTGGGAAGAGTTTTATATAAAATCCAACCTTCAACCCTTTATTACTAAAAAAAAAAAAAAAAAAAAGTAGATAGTAGTCATAAATACCCTCTTCACATAATAATCGGTTATACTTTCCTAAAAGAAAAGGGAAGCTGATGCGGCTCACCACCACCTCCCCCTCCCCCTCTGTGGCGTTCCGATCCGAGGCAAGCAAACGTCACTCCTGCAGCGCAGTCATATACGTGTAACTGGGAACCGGTCCTATCCCTTCTTCCCGCCCCATTCAGCATAAACCCAAATAAACTCAAAAGCGCCCTCATTCGTTGTTACATTAGAGAAGAAGGATAAACAGGTACTCTGACAGTCATCCCCCAAGATGAGCTGTGACTCAGCCTGCTCCCGAGGCCCACAGAGTCCTTACACGCCAGCACTCTCCTCCCTCCCCTGCCCCTGATCACTCCCGCGCCTTCAGACCCCTCGGCGGTGGCTGCAGCACCTGGCAGGCCTTCTGCACCGCCGGCCTGAGGGGCTGGAGGGCACCGTGGACCCTGGACCCCGGCCCTCGCCCCGATCCCAGCCCCGACCCCGACGACGGCCCCGCCCCGGCCCCCGCCCCGACA